AATTGCTAAAGTGTGTCTTTCTGAAATACTCTAATTGTTGAGTAAAAAGGTTTCAAGAATGACAGGAGTGTGACAGGCAATGAGAGGTTTTTATATAATCAGTGTTTGGGAGACAGATGTGCAATTGTTGTAAAACTTTGGATAGAAAGGTGATTTTTCATCTCTCCTTACAGACATGAAAGGAAACAATCAGCTCTAAGGGTTGCATTTGTATTCTTTTTCTTTCTACCACAAGCCTCTGCCATTTAAAATAAAATAAATTCTTGCCTGGCTGATGAAGAACAATCCAAATAATTGTATATAAACCAATTCCAGTAGATCATATGATTATTTTTCTGACATCTTATCATACACCTAACCAAATACTCGTTGTGCAATCGTTATTATCAACGAGGCAATAAACCTGCCACATTACAGAAGCCATGTGAATGCTTCTTCTGTCTTGCAGGGTGGACTATGAACGTATCCAAGCTGTTGGCCCTGACAGGGCAGCCTCGGAGTGGCTGTTGCGATGCGGTGCACTGGTGCGCTATCAAGGCTATCAGAAATGGCAGCAGGACTACAGTGGTCTCCCAACAGGGCCCTTGGGGAAATACAAGATAGAAGCGATTAATGCCACTGACTCTTGCATCATGTACAGAGGATTTGACTATTTGGGTAATGTGGACACAGCTGTGCAAAGATTATACTGAATAGTTCTTTCAGTTGTATCAAAATATGAATAACTGTGTCATTTTCTCTTTCCTTAGCAAGATACAGGGAAATATTTTCCATTTTTTCCCCCCTTAAAATGGCTCTACAAATATTCAGCCATTCCTAAGATTTTGTTGGAGGCATGGTGTAAAGCAGAAAGATTGGGAACTTCATCACCTCTTACCCGAAGCAACCGTAACATTGAAGAAGTGCGACAAAGATTTGCTGTTTCATTGAGTTCATAGTTAAGTAGCTGGTAGCAAAAAGCCCTATGTTAAATATTTCTTTTCTTCTAAACAAGTGATATTCTTGGTGTCTGCGAAGTCGTATTACTTGTTCTCCAGGCCTTTATGATGTCTCCAAAGATGAAAAAAAAAAAAAGCAAGCTCTCTGTTTCTCATAAAATAAGAGATTAAAGAAGTGTTTCAGGTCTCCTTGAAGTAACAAAACCCTAAGTGTGGAGCAGACCATTTAATTTTTTCATTGGCAGGGGACTTTCAGTTTCTTGCAATAGTACGTTACTAAGTCAGAGTCCTTATTTATCACCCAGACTTGCAGAGGATTTTTTGTTACTTACCCATGCCAAAGCTCTTAGAATCTTACCCAAAGTATACAAACTTTGGGGTTTCCATATATACTGAAGTACCGCAAAGGAATTTCAGAGATTCATTTTGCCTTATGGCCCCCCGTATAAGGGAGCATGTCGCTGTGTGGGTTTGGAGGCAGTTGCTAAACTCAGAACTTAGCAACCAGTACAGGTTGTTCCTGGTATTCTGAAGCCAATACTCAATTTTGTCTTCCCAGATGGTCTCAAACATGTTACAGAAATCAAGCTTCAGAAGTGTATTTACATACAAGATGAGTGTCTGCAGAGGCTCAGTGAGACGAAGAATCTGCAGAAGAGTCTTCTCCAGCTGAAGATAATTTCCTGTGGCAATGTCACAGATAAAGGCATCATTGCGCTTCACAAGCTGACGTAAGTGAGCTGCTGAGCTCTTCTATAGCACCTTGCTTCCCTGGCTGTTACACCCCACGGCTTTGGGACTGCGTTGACTGCAAGGGCTGGAGTCTGCATGTTTCTGGGCTGGTTTTGCTCAAGAGTAAGTATTTGATGATCACTTTGGTTTCTATGGCTGACCCCGCTGCTGCAGCTCCTGTTCAGGGCAGGCTTTGATGGTGTCCTGTAACTCCTATGGTCCTTCTACACCTCGCATGGCTTCTGTCACTGGGTTATCTCATGCTCACTGCAGCCTCAAGGTCTTGGGGTGGACCTGAGTGCTCAGGCCTGGGAAGCAGTTGGGTGCTGTGCACCTCTGCACAACATCCATGGTGCTGTATTGAACTGTGGCCTTAAAGTGACTCGGAACTGTTTAGTGTCACACCCAGTTGCAGATACCTACAAATGGGTGATGGATTTCTTCCTACAGAAAGGTTTTACTAGGGACTTTCTATATTACTTGAATTATTATTTACATTAAAATAACTTTTTCTAGAGTCATAGAATATCAGGTTAAAGGGACCTCAAGGATCTTCTGGTCCAACCTATCACAGCTTGTGTTTTCTAAGCTAAATTGCTATTGAGATTATTAAATACTGTTTAATATAAAGCAAGCTCCATGATGCAGGGAGTCCAGGATCTCTTTTTAAGCTGTGTAGAAGGACTGAACATATGGTGAGCTGAAAACCCCCCACTTCAGAAAATAAAACAACTCAAAACAGCTCTGGTAGAATAATCTTTTGTCTAATTTCTGTGTCCACAGTTAAATAGTAGTCACTGACTTTTCTTTCTAAATATTTATAGGAACCTTGAATATTTGTATCTGAGTGACCTTCCTGGAATAAGAGAGAAAGAAACTACTGCTCACATCCTTCAGCAGGCACTGCCAAACCTCAAGCTGGAGCTGGATTTAGAATAAACACAATTACTCGTAATGGAGATGTATTTGATTTCATACTATTTATCGTCTGTTGCACAAGCGAAGTTGTAGACACTACTGTATTTCCAGGTATGGAAATAAGCCCAGATCTCCCAATGCAGCCTCAAAAACTGTACACAATCTTTTGACAAATTATGCAATTAAGTTTTATTAAGCTTAAACCATATAAACTTAAGCTATATAAACTATATAAGCTTAAACTATTCACTAGTCAACAAAAGAGCAGGCAGACTTGTGTGTGTAGTCATTTTTATTCCTGTTTTTATAGGAAGCTGTTAATACCTCAGTAGTTCTCAAATGTTTTATTGCACAGACGTTCTTGTGCAAAACAACAGTGGGCAGAAGGTCAGTGTAGTGAAGCAGCAGCGCTGGGTGCTTCTATTGTGTGGTCCTGGTGTTGTGGAACGGGAGCTCTTTACCCTGAGAATCTCACCTTGTTCAAATAAAATAGCTTATGGGCCTTTTGTTTGTGTTCTTCAGGCTTTGACTCACATGCCTTTGTTTAAGTGAAATGATCTACAAACAGGTAGTGTAGTCTCCTCATAAACACTGAGCTGACAAACAGAACATTGATGTGTTTACAGAGAAGCAGGGTCTCTCAGACAATGTATGTTTATGGAGAAGTGGGGTCTCTTGCATACACCCTTGCACGCATTTTTGGTGTATGCAGAGCTGGACTAAATGAGTCCTGTGAACCTCTTCAGTTGCATCCGTATCACTCCTGCTAAATAAGAGAGTGATTCATCCTCAGGAAGAATACAGTGGTTTTAGTCAATTCCTAGGGTTTTTGTAAGGGAGAAGTGTAGTAGGTAGCAACTCCAGGAAAGCAGATTTCCCAGCAACGCCTCAGTCATGGCAATCTCTGCATAACTGAGCACCTCTTCTCTTGTCCCTGTTTGCCAGCTTGGCTGCTGAAGGAAATGACTCCAGGCCCTGGAAAGGACGTTTTGCACTACCTACATTGTGGGGCTGATTCTTTGTGGCATCTGCCAGCACAGAATGGGCAAGAACAGTGTCCCTCTAGCCTGCCCTGCGCTGGTCCAGTTCTGGGAGCCCACTGCCAGGCTATCAGCCACTTAATAACCTGTGGGTGCTACAGTGCCTTGCACATACACAGGATTAGATGGCTGAACATCCATGCAGAAAATCCTACAGTGTCACAGCTTTCTGAGTGTAACCAAAACTACTGAGGCACAAAATGTACAAGAATAAAATACATTAAATTATAACACAAAAGGTAGACAGGCAGACTCTGTAAGGATATGGCACCTGTCCCAATGAATCTGCTTTGCCAGTTGTTGAACATTCTGGGAAAAGAAAACATTATTTGCTCTAGGTTTCAAGTAGAAAGAGAATGTTTTGCCCAGTAGTAAAACTTTATGTAGTAAAACACATCCAGTAAATCGGCAAAACAAACTACATTTATTCAGAATCAATGCAATAGTACGTCCTAAGATCACACAAAACCTACAAATCATTCTAATACATATGCTTAGGTAGAATTCCTGCCTGCGTCTGGCTGATGTTATAAATGATAATCATTAATTAGTTTTGACAAAAATGATTCCTGTAACACTACAGGCAAGTCACTTCGCTACTGACAGAAACAGCAAATAAAAATTAGCTCCTAATGTAAGGAAGAAACACACAGGAGAAGCTCTGAAAAGACTAAATAAACAACAGGTTGTATTGTTTCTATGTTCTCCTGGTAACAGTGCCCGTAGAGCCTTCCATTAGGTCTGAGTCATTACCAGTATCTTTAATCCTGCACAATCTATAAATGTAGTAGGTAAGTCAGACATTTCTTTAGAGCAGTGCTACTTCAGCAGGTTTGGAACTTACTCAGGTCAGGCAGCCTCTCATCAGGCTTGGCCCCTCACACCACCCATCCCCTCCTCTATTCCCATCAGAGAGGCATTTACAGTTCCTTGTGGGATCAGTGACTCCAAAGCAGTGATACTGCTTTTACACAGCCAGACTCTGATTGATTTGGCAAGGTTGCAGTTCTGCTGACAGGTCTGAAATACAGGGGATGAACAGTCAAGAGGTTTTAAGCTCACACTGTAAGCACTGGATTGCAGTAATCCTGAACTGGTACAGAACCACGAACCAGTACACAACCACAATCCGGTACACAACCACAAATTAAAGCAAATTAACTGTATTTTCCTTGGTACACAGAGCACTGACTAACAGGAGCTTGGAGTTCGCTCTGTGTATCGCTTCCGTTACTGACCCAGAGTACATCACAGACCACTTCTGTGTATGTCCTAACAAGTAGTGATTTTGTTTTCCACCACGTATCCTCCTTTTATAAATTGTGAATGACTTGAACTTTGGTCAATGAATCGTTTTTAATCTGCCATCCGGTTAGATGTTAGGAAAATGGTAGTTTGATTTCCTCATTTTGCAGCAGTACTTCTTGGTGTCCAAAGCTGGTAGTACGTTACTACTGGTTAACTGAGGCAGGTACTGTAACTAAAAGAAAAGTTACATAGTGTGTATTTGTTTGAAAGGAGACTAAAGCATGCATTTCATTTTTTCCAAATGGAATATAAGCTATAACAGTATTCATCCTGTAATCCTGTGCTTTTCAAATGAGGAGTTGTGGAGCTGGGGTTCTACAACTGGACCAGAACCAGAACAGCTCATTAAAGTTCCTTCTTCCAGTCATCCAGGGCAGGAAAAATATTACTGTTATATCCCATGCCATAGAAATAGAAGAGGTAAGTTTCATCCAGGAATTTATACGCTGTAACAGTTCTCCATCCCACACCTCCAACCTCCCCGCTGTCATGGGGAATGTGGCTCGCAGGAAGAAAGAACTGAATGCCTCTCCTCCAGAGGCTGGACCGGAGACTTGGGCTGGCGTCTGGAAAGACTGAACTGGGAGACATGTGCTTGGCAGAAACACCCGGTGCATTGTGCAACATCTGGAACCACGTAAGGGATCACATCCCATCAGCAGTTAAAACAGAATTGGGCATTTTTGCCATCTCCATAACTTGGGACTCAAAAGCACCAAAAAGATCCCAGAGAACTCCAAATTACACCAGCCACACCAGCCTGGCCCGTATGTCCAGCTATCCTGCTATTCTTTGTCAGGAATGCACATTCCTGGATAAACCTGATCTTTCACGTGATGTGCTGCTTACCCCAGCAACTCAATAGAGCTGCACACAGAATTCAGTTTGTACTGAGTTACTCTTTAGCCAAGAGGTTAATTTTCTCCTCAGGCTAAAATTAAGATGGGTCCAAGGCAGGAGCTCACTCTCACCCTTAACTGCTCCCATCAGCCCACCTCCTGTGAGCCCAACAAAGAGAACCAGGCCCCTCCTCAGGTACAGAACATGAAATACTACTATGAAAATGTTACCCCTGGCACGTGCTTTCGAGTCAGCTTGGCTGGCTTCCGAGCCATTTTTCCTTTGCCCAGATCCGCTGCTTCCCTAATGCTGTCAAAGTAGGGGTGCTGCAGCAGCTGCTCGCATGTCTGCCTCTCTGCAGGGTCCATACGAAGACAACCCTTAGAAAAGATGAAGTAAGGGATCACAAGAAACACCCGTTAAACAGGTCTGCACAATTCCAGCTACTCACCCAGCCAACTACTCATATGGATGCAGCTGTTAATATTTTTCTTAATAGATTCTAAGAGTGGCTTTCCAGAATCAGCACGAGGCGTGCAAAGCAGCCAATGCCCAACAACTGCCACAAGGCAGTAGTAGAAACTGCAGCTAGAGGGACAGTTGCAATTGGATGCTGCAGCAAACCTCAAAAAACAGTTCAGCCCAAAACTTTCATTTGAACTAGAACAACTTTCTTAAGCAGGGGACTCCACTATGGCACTAGTCCTGTTGTGCCAATGTGCAGTGTAGCCAGGGCTGTCCACAGCTGTACCTTCTTGTTAATGTCTCCATCCTCACAGTTTTCATTCACTGCATCTTAATAAGGGAATGTTTTCCACCTCCATGGTAAAGAAGAGTGGATTAAAAGTCCTCTCCAAATACCCTCCAGCTCTGTTTTAAAATGAATTTCTGATAATTCAGTAGCTCTCAAACCATTTACCAGCTGATAAGCAAAACCAGACTGCATTTGCTAAGTCTCAGTGCAGAGTTCTTCCACACGCGGTAGTTTTCTTACCTTCATGAGAGCTAGAGCAGAATATGAAATATGAGGGAATTTCATTTCTAACGGCTCCTGGAGAGAAAACAACAGTGAGAGTACTCAGGTTAGCAGGTTTTGGATTCATCAGGGTACAGAGAACCAGCTTTCCACAGCAATGTGACCTGTACCTCACAAAACATGTCTCTTACTTCATGCACTTAGAGAACTGCTGCTGGCATTACTGAGGATGGGTAGGTTGGCTGCCGTGCCACCAGAACCAGGGGAAGGAGCAGAGATTAAGCATTTCTGACTGCTTTTACACAGGATATTGGTTAAAATGTCATGAGAGGAGTTCAGTCACCTCCAAATATTCTGGTGTACATTGGCAAAGTAGAGGGCAAAACTTCTGGATAGGGAAAAAACGGTGTGCAGCAAAGGACTGGTCACACTGACCAAGCGAGGCTCTTCCAGCTCTGACTCCAAAGCAGACAGCATGTGTACGCTGGGCAGAAAGAAGCAGGAACATTTCTCTGTCTGAACACTGCATCTCTTTAGCACTGCACATAGATTGCTGGTTAGCACTAAGCTCAAGGGAAGTGTGTCCAGAGGGAGCTCTTACCATGCTTTCCGGGTCCGGAATTCTTATCCCACTGAAGAACTGGTTGGTGCTGAACACTTGCTGGTGCCTGGGAATAAGATCCCCTTTGACCAAGAATGAAAGTAAAAAAGCAAAGTTGGATTAATCTGCTAGTTTTACAGAGCCTGCATTGAACAAGCTTATATCCTCTGACAAGGCTGACACCATCTGAGACAATGTCTGAAGAGATGGAGTACCATCAAGCGAGCTGATGAAATGTTCTTTTGCAAAAACTAATGTCCACCTGTAACACCTGTGTGACTGTGCTGAAGGAAAGGCAGGGCCACACAGCTCCAGCTGCCCGCGGTCACAGCTGCCCAGGGCCCTCTGCTGTGAACAACTCAAAGAAATTCAGCTGGTGGGAGGAGGTTTTGCAGCAGCAGTACCCAGCTACTGTGCCTTGGTGAGAAACTCAACGTGATCTGGTAGTGTGCGCTTGCAGCCCAGAAAGCCAGCCGTATGCTGGGCTGCATCACCAGCAGCGTGGCCAGCAGGTCAAGGGAGGGGATTCTCACCCTCTACTCTGCGTTGGTGAGACCCCACCTGCAGTACTGCATCCAGCTCTGGGCCCCCAGGGTAAGAAGTACATGGACCTGTTAGAGCAGGACCAGAGGAAGCCACGGAGATGCTCCAAGGGCTGGAGCACCTCAGCTCTGGAGACAGGCCGAAGGAGCAGGGCTTGTTCAGCCCAGAGAAGGCTCTGGGGAGACCTTAAAGCAGCTTCCAGTGCCTACAAGGGCTGACAAGAAAGCTGGAGAAGCTTTTGATAGGGGCCTGTAAGGATAGGACAAGGGATGATGGCTTTAAACTGACAGAGGGGAGCTTCAGATTAGATACCACGAAGAAGTTCTTCCCTGTGAGGGTGCTGAGG